GGAGTTCCAATCCACAGCGGGAAGAGGAGATAGGCAACGATCGCGATTCCAAAAGAAAAAGAACCGAAAAATCTAGAAAAACAATGGTCACCTCGAAGTCGAGGGATCCAGAGTGAGGAAAGGCAACAGAAAGAGAAATGGGCATAAGGAAGCGTACCTAGACAGGGAAGAAGAGCAACAAACAGCAGCCAAAGAACAAAATTGGAGGAGAGGAACAAAGCAGGACTTCGAGTCGAACCCAGAAAGCACAGTTTAGAGTAGAGAATATGGGAATCGCGTGGAAGAAAGCCTAGAAATCACAGAGAGAAAGAGTCGGAGACGAAGGTGAACAACGTAGAAGATGAACAGTGGTTTTGTACATTTTCTTTCAACCGTTTCGAGCATTTAAGGCTTGAAAGACATGGGGTGAGGCGTGCGCGGGAACCAAGGGAGTCATGATTGCTTATACCATCAAAAAGCCCCTCCCACGTGCATCTCACATGCAGGCTAAGGTCAGCTAGGCGCAGGTCTGGTCCAAGGTAAAACAGCTCAACTCATGTCCAAGCTCGCTTGGGCCAAGGGCTGGGGGGCAACTGATGATACCTCAAAATAAATTCCAAACGCCAGCTCAGAAGGTCAGCTCAGCCCAAGAGGTCAGACTAGACGAACAGAACTCGGAAGAGTAGAGCTGGAGGTCCCTTCGAGATAAGCAAGGGCAATAACAACTAAGGCAACAACTGGAAGATCACGAGAGGTTCCTAAAAGTGTTAGGAAGCAATAATCGAGACACCTAATCGCAACCAACCAAGATCTTTTCTTATAATCAAGGAGAACCCCACAAAATAAGGGCAAGAATCTCGGCTAAGATCCTACTGAATAGGGAACAACCCTATAAATACTATGTAACGCCCCCAAGGAAAGGGGGGAACTCTAAAGGTAAAAACTAGTCATTGTACTCTTGCAATCATCATTATTGAAAGACAAGGAGTAAGAGTCTCCATTAGAGAGTGGATTAACCGAGCTCCCAAGCTGGTGAACTACTATATTCCTACTGTGTTAATTCCCCAATTCCCCGACAATTCTCAGTATCATTCACTCGAGTCTAGTAGCTCAGATCCCAATAATTCCAATTTTATTTTCTTTCATTTACTCGTCATCACAAATTCTCATCACGCTGAAATACACCATCATATGTATTTGTCAATTGGCGATTAGAATTGGTACGCTCAATCAAACGAAAACCGACCCCATAATAGAGACACAACTTTTTATTTAGCTCAGATTCCATCTCACCACCTTGGCAATTATTATATATATATATACACATAAACATGTCTCTTTCATTCACCTAAGAGTCCATACAGTTGTTTTTAAAATTCTGACTTTTAGCTTCTTTTTCTCTTTTTTTTTTACCTTTATTTATTTATTTTTATTGCGACTTCTGATTTGAAACCACCTAATTTATAATAGGCTTATTTGGAGTTAACTTAAATAGGTAGTTTTTAAAGGTTTTGGAGTAAAATAAGTCAAGTCCATTTAGATTTTAATTTTTTTATGAGAAATTTGGGGGCTGGTCCCCTTTTGCGGACTCGAGTCCACTACAAAAATTTGTTTGGTAAAAAGTTAACTTTGATCTTCATTGTCAAAAATACTTTCAATAGTTATATTTAATTGAAACTTGTTTAGAAAAACTAACAACTCCTACATTGAGAATTATACTAGCATTAAAATTACTTCTCTATCATACCTATCTAATAGGGGTAACTCGTGCATGAAGGTACGGTATAATGTGAATAGTTTTGAGAGGAATGTTAGTGATCGTTGAATGGGTCTATTTGAGATCATTGGATGATCTTATTGAAGTCTGTCCTATTTTATATTATAAGTACCTATATATAGATTTGGACTATTTTATCTCTCCCTTACACACACACACACATACATATATATAAGATAAAATAGTAACATTCAAATAAAAATAGTAACATTCAAATATAAAAAATAATAACACTCAAAATAATTGTTGGAATTAGACTCAAACTCTCTAATTATTATGAAGTAGAGTTTATTGGATAATCAATGTGAGAATCCTATATGAAATAGGATTATATTGGAAGAGTTTTAATATACCATGAATATGTATATTAGACATGTGATAGAAAACACAAAGATCAAGTTGTCCCTTGATATGTTTGGATTACAGTATTTTATCCTTATAAATAGGGGTGTGCATTATATAATTAGTCACCAAATGATTAGTTTTTCAATGAATAATACATTGATGTAAATTATTGATTCGTGGAGTATCAAACCACATTATATCTCTCGTGTTTTGTTTTATTGTTTTTCCTATCTTTGAATTCCTATATTTCGACAAGTGTGATTTTGTGTTAATTATCCGTTGTACAAAACCAACAAATGGTATCAGAGCTAGATTGATGATCCTGGTAGAACAATCATAGTTAGATTGACGATCCTGATACAACAATAAAAACAAGTTGTTGGCAATTCAATGTTCAAGGTGATGTTCATCTTGAAGAATACTCACTTGTCATGTATGTAAATTTCATATTTTTGTTTAAATTCACAAGAAAAAAATTAAAGTTAGTATGAAACCAAACAGAAGACTAAGTTCTTTCATGATTGTTTGAATTTTAAGAATTACCACACATGTTGTGTTGAAAATGTTTCTTCAGATGTTTGGGCTCTTTGAGTTGAAGTCGCAGTATTTCAATGGTTTTGGAGCTATTGGGCTGAAATAAACTCAATAGTGATAATGTAGTGTCTCGTGGGTTACAAGTCACTAGGCTTTACTTTTGTATGATGAAAACATTGACTATTGAGACCTCTCAAGAGTAGGTAAGACGCAGACAGAGATGCACATATGATACAAGCCAAGAAACAGACTCTTGAAAGACAGAGAGAATTATGGCAACTCAGAAAAGTAAGTTTGCACATGGTGTTTAAAAATTGGTGGATCAAAATCAAGTGTGCTAAGCTCAGTCTTGGGCATGACCAAAGTTGGAAAGTTTGGTTCAAGGGAGACTGTTGAAATTTGACTCAAACTTTCTAATTATTATGAAATAAAGTTTGTTGGATAATCAATGTGAAAATCCTATATGAAGTAGAATTATTGGAAGTTTTAATATACCATGAATAAGTATATTAGACATGTGATAGAAAACATAAAGATCAAGTTGTCTCTTGATAGGTTTGGGTTACAATATTATATTCCTATAAATTGGGGTGTGTTATGTAATCAGTCACCAGATGATTAGTTTTTCAATGAATAATATATCGATGTAGATTTTTAGTCCGTAGATGTAGGTATGATGTACTACAATAGGTACGGTGTACCACGATAGGTACACTTTATCAAACCATATTATATCTCTTGTGTTTTGTTTTATTGTTTTTCACGTATTTAAATTTCCATATTCCAACAAGTGTTATTTGTGTTAATTATCCATTGTATAAAACCAACAATAATAAATAGGAACATTCAAACACAAAAAATAACAATAACATGCTTGACAAAAATACTAACATGTTCAACCAAAAAAATAGTAACATGGTCAATAAAAAAATAGTCACATGAAATATTAAATAATTTTTTTATTGACATGTTACTACTTTTTTGGTGGAGCTTGTTACTATTATTTTTTGTGTTTGATTATTACTAGCTAATGCTCGTGCCTGAACGCACTTCGTAACAAAAAAAAACAATTAAAAAAAATTGAGCATTACCAATAAGGAAGTATCCATCAAGCCACACAAAGACTCACCAATACCATCACACCACATGTCTAATGTGTTGAATTAGCGAACAAATTATAGCATTGACATTAATAAAGTATCATATAAACTCAACAGATTCATTTGTTAAATCAAATTGCAACTTCAATCACTTTAATGTAGTGTCCATCATGTTTGGATCCAAAATAATCTAATTGAATACATGACAATTAAATCAAAAGTAGGACTGAAGAAAGCATAACCGATGATGTGGAAACCACCAAAAACCATCGTGGGAAAAAATTCAAATTAGAAAGGCCTAAAAAATGACTAAAGAGATACATCAATGATGCAAATGAATAATTGTCGAATGTGGTGGTGCTCATAGCACCCTTGACATTTGTTGTTTCAACTTAGGCGGCGTCGCTAGAGCATTCCCCTTTTGCTTTCACAAATGCCTCCATTTATCCAACACATTTGCTAAATCTGGAAGGCTTGGCCAACTCCTCCAACCCATAAAGCATCTTTACCCCATTTCTCAAGGCCAAGGTTATATACAAAAAGCACAATTCAATTACGCAATACCCTTTGTAAACAAACACTTGTCATCTATTTCTAGTATTTGTGAATCCATTTAAGAGTTCCACCCTATTCTAACACACCGAAATCATAACAATAATGTTAAACATATTATTGGAAAACGTAAGAGTTCCACCACATGACTTCCAGCAATGTCAAAAGTTAGCCATGATTCTTGGTAAAGTTGATTTTATGAAACAAACAATGCATTTTCCAATCATTTTTCATAACCATTTTTCATGAAATTATAGAATATATTTTATGTTTCTGCAAAATAAAACTTTATATCGAAAGAAAAGGTTTAGAAACAATGTTGGTAAATTGAAACTTGCGCATGTACATACTCATGAGAGAGTTTTAATCATGAACACGCCAAGAAAAACAACAGCGGATGCAAAGTGAAATATACAACCCAAATTGCCTGCACATACCATAACGGTCAATGGAAGTGCGCACCTATGATGTCCCTAGCATAAAATCATTTTCTGAAACAGACCCGTGTGAGAATTTTGAGTCAATTATGCACGAATCCAGGAGTGAAGCCATGAACAGCCACAAATCATAACTTTTTTGCAGAAAGAAAAGCAATGTGTGTGTGAAGATCAATTCCCAACAATAAAAAACTATGTAACAGGCTCTTAACCAATAAACATACTCACACTTAAATAACTTCAAGGAATCATCATCTACAACATACCATAAGGAGCAGCCAAAACAATGAACCAGTCCAAGTATAAGTCCTCAATGTCGAAATGCCTCTTAAAGAAGCAAACAAAATTTAAGAAATCTGAGCCAAAACCCCATAAAATTCACATGCAATTCAAGCTTTCAATTGTCTAAACCCAATCACAAACTCTATAGTACCCAAAGGCAAATTAGAGAAAGAAAGCTGCTAATTGGAATCGATCGAATATGGAATTTGCTTTGGAAGAGAAATAGAGAGCGAGCAAGTGAGGGGTGAATGACAAATCGATTAGTTCTTGAGAGGTAACAATGCCAGAGAAGAAATGACGTGTTGATGCAATCATCGCTAGGTAGATTAGAGAGAGAGACCAATGCTTAGCATCACCAAAGGGTAATCGAAACTAGCATGGTGCCCCACCATTCCTCACCAACAATTCCTCTATGCCCTCCACTTCGGTATCCTAGAGCAACAAAAAAAGAGGGTGCTCAGAATATGTATCGAGCATTGGTGAAGAATGAGACAGACAGGGAGAGAATTACCTCTAGTTGCCTTGAGCTTTGGTGGCTCTGTGAAGAAGAGAATGAGGATGAAGGAGCTGGAGTCTGGCGTGTTGCGTTGATGGGGAGATAGAAAAGACAAATTTTGGGGAATTTTGTGGTTTTCTCTCTCTCGATGGGGAAGAAAAAAGACATGGGGGAGATTGTGTGAGAGGGGCGAGATTTTAGGCAAAGATTGGGGCAGGACAGAGAAAGAGTGTAAGAGAGGGAGTGAGACAGTGCGGGCCCGCGGGATACTTACCAATTGCGATTTGTGTAATGTAAGGGAAAGAATTAATTTATGAATGTTAATTTGCGAAAGTAAGCTTTGGGCGGTTAAAAAAATTTAAGGGTTAATTTGGTGCATCGAATTGAAATAATATGAGATGTCAATAGTTTGAGTTAACGTCATCCGTTGGATGATGTCTTTTTTTATTACGAAACGATCTGGGTTACTCTTTATCTCTAAAATTTAAAATCGTTCTACTTTATTATATAGATATAGTAGAGGTATCCTATAATTGAAGACATAGTACAATATGAATGATTTTGAAAAAGATATTGATGGGCGTTAGATGAATATATTTGAGATTGTCGTATAGGCTTATTGAAGTCTATCCTATTTTATATGATATATATATATATATATATATATATATATATATATATATATATATATATATATATATATATATATATTTAAAATAAAACTGTCTTGCATGAAAAATTTTTAATTTATTATTTTACGATTATAAAAAATTATAAAGAGTAACATGTTTTTTTATATTTAAATATATAAATTATCATTATATTTCTCTATATTTAAATCACAAACTAACCTCTAATATATTATACAAATTTTTAAATGATCATGTTACTCTTAACAAGATAAATAAAAATATTAATTTTTTTTAAAACCTCAATATTAATACACATGTATAATTTCATTGATACAATATTATCTCTAGTTCCAAAAAATTGATATATGTATCTTTTTATCTTTATCTATACTACAAACAATTTAAGTATGATAAATATAATATAATATCTAATTTAATTATATAATTAAATTTTTATATATTTTATCAAATTTTAAAAAAAAAAATTTCACGTGCAACGTATTGCATTGCTAATGTATATATATATATATATATATGGAATTCATGGAAGATAGAGAGAATATGGACAGATATGGAAAATATACAAAATATTTCAATTAAAGAAAATAAATACTTACAACACTAGAACTAATGGTCTAGTGGAAATAAGCGGTAACAGGGGAGCTATTCTTTTGCATTATGAAGAAGGCTTACAAGTGAAGGGTAAGATTACAAGTATTAGTGGCTTGTAATGTTTCTTTGAAACCAGACTAGAGAGTGTCTGAGATCTTCAAAGCTTGCCCCTTATGAGGAGAGGGAGCTGCCTTATATAGAGGTAAGGGACTCTGGATTCCTTTGTGGTAATAATTCTGCTTTTTCTTTTACTCAGGGTAAAGTAATTCACCTTCTTGCTTTCGGCTGAAAAGTGGAGTAAGATTCTTTTACCCGGGTAACTAGGACATGTTGAAAGGACTAGTGGGTCCTTGTTTGTCCTGAGAATCCCTTTCGGTGGAAAAGCATATCTGTGGGTCCTGCCTTTGTCTGTGAGAATCCTGCTTTTTAGGGAAAGGGGATCCTATGCAGACATGTGATATTATCTTTACACAGAGTGGACAGCTTTTCTTTCTTTACTGAAGAAAGTAGTGATTGAAGTCACTTTATGTAAATAATAATTCACGGGAGTGCAAGGTCAGGTGTGAGGTCATCAACATCAAAGTCTTCTATTCCTTCAAAAGGATCCTGAGCATATCCTGCTGGGAGTTCTGAGGAGGAACTTTGAGAAGATGATTCACTATCTGAGTCAAGTTGTTCAAGGAGCTTCTGGAGGAGCTTTGCCTTGGACTTCTTCTTGCTAAACTTCTTCTGAGAACCTTTAGATGAAGATTCTTCTGGTTGGACTTGTCTTGTAGGAAGGTTAGCCTGGCTTGAATGAGCGGGCAGTTCCTTCATTGGAGTTGCTGGTTGTAAAGGACCTGGAACTACTACTGGAGTTGGTACCCTTACAGGGAAGTCTCGTTTCACCATTGTGATGATGTCACCATGCTGAAACCTGGGCCACCATTTGACATAGAATTGTCGGGTCAAATTGAATCCCACAATTTTCCATTGCCATTTTAGTATCCACGGGACTTTGTACCTGCAAAGAAATATTAGTAATAAAGGTAATGGGGACTCCTGTTTACTAGGACGGTAAAGGGAGTAAAAGATATTAATCTGATCTTTAAGATCAGCTGGAAAGATTTCATCAATGGAACCATGTAGATGCCACCACTGTGCAAACCATGCAGGAATATGGCTTTTGAAATCTTTGTGGAAATTTAAGAACCAAGAATGGGACAAATCCTCATTTTGGTAGAGTAATATCTTAGACCATGACTCAATGTAGTTATAGTAATTAAACTGTCTGCTGTGAAAAGGAAGTTCTCGAAGCAAACAATGGTGAGAACCCCATTCCTCAACGGAAATAATTTTGGTAATATACAAGCTATGATAGATAACCTTATTTGGGTTTATCTTATCAGGAATAGACTTGGTAAAAATGGATTTAGTGTAGTAGAGAATATCTTGGTAAAAACTATGGGGTTTTTTCAAGTCTACTGGAATGTAATTCCAACCATCTGGGAGGTATATATATATATATATATATATATAGACAAACAAAGGGGGAGAAATCTTTGATTTGGGAATGTTACTATTTTGTTTTTCTAAATACTACTATTTTTTGTATTTGAATGTTATATATATAATAAAGTAGAGTAAGTTTTGAATTTTAGAGACAAAGCGCGACCGATATCGTTTCAAGACCAAGAAAAACATCATTCAACAGATGATAGTATCACAAACTGTTTTGAGTTATTGATATCTCAAATCATTTCGATCTGAAGTACCACATTAACTCTTAAAAAAATTTTGTCGCCCAAAAAATTTAGTTACCAAAATTGGCATTCCTAAATTTAATTCCAAGCAATGCTATATGCACAAAAATATACACCTAAATTTGTGTCAAATCACTTGCAATAACTAGATCAATGAATCTTATCAATGATGCAACGATTATAATTAATTTAATATAAATTTTAGTGCGCAAAGAAATATCCTTTAATTCCCCCCAACTCTATCTCTCTCTCTCTCTCACCAAATCCTACAATACAATCATCTTTCCTCGTTGGCCGATAATTCCCTCGATTCTGCCTCTTTCTCTCTCTCTCTCTCTTCAAATTTGGGCATCTTTGATCTTCTTTCCATATCATAATCTCAATGTGATCTTTGATCCTTATCAAGCGATCTTTACCTATTGCTCCTCTCTCTTCCTACGCAATTGATGTTTTCCCTAACACTCCGTTGTTCCCTCTCTCTCCTGCTGCACTGCTCCAGTACGGCCCTCTATTTCTCCACATGTTTCTGCTCACTCACACATAGATGAGAGCCACCCACAGCAGCACCCCCTTTCTAATTTCGATGTTGATTTCATTTTTTGTTTCGTTGCCAAACAGACTGAAGTTAGTTGGTTTCATTGTTGAAATCATTGCTGATTTCATAGTTGATTTTGTTCTTCATTGTGGACAGTCGCCTTTTCTCTCTTCTCTCTGCGCCGCTCCTCCCTTCTTTCTTTGCTGATTCTGGAGACAGATACTAGGTGAAGCCATCTGGGAATTGGAATTTGGGTTATGTTCGGTGTTTGTTTGATGCACCACGGTAATTCAAAAGGTGTGCTTAGTGATTGAATAATTTTTCTACCAATTTTTATTTGTCGCTCTTGTGAATATTTTTTTGAGATAGAATGTGGGTGGATGCCTTTTAGAGGAATATATTGCCGTTGTTGTTTTTCAATGTATTTTTGCAATCAAAACAGAGTATGAGAGTTCTATAAAGTAGCGTAGTGTGCTAATGTTGTCAAGTGTGAGTTCACACGTCATTTGAATGTTCCAAGAAAAGAAGATAATCTCTATAGTGATAGGCACAATAAAGGTGCGAGGGAAAAAAACATGCAATATAGATAATCGAAGAACTTCTTCATCCATTTTGTTTTTGTTTATATGATAATTCTAATTAGTTGTGTTATATTGTGATTTTAGTGTTTATTTGTTTATTTCATCTCTTTGTTTTTGTAGAAAATCAGGAAGACATGATGGAGGATTGAGATCAAATTTTAAAGGAGACACTCATGAGTTTGTTTGGTTTATGCCTCTATATTGATCTTGATAAATTTAGTCATTTGTTCAATGCTCAACATCTAAGCAAATTTCTTTCTTTTCTCTTTGTGAAGCATTTTTATGATAAATTTGGCAAGCTCCTATATTTCTATACTAATTCAGTGGGTGGTTAATTGTTGATTTATTTTTTTGATGAATTTGGCAGGGTCCTATATTTCTATACTAATTCAGTGGGTGGTTAATTGTTGATTTATTTTTTGATTGTATTTTTTTTGTTGTTTTCTTTTCAAGAATTGAGTAACTTTGATTAGGTGCCACTTTTAGGGATTGGATTGTGGAAATTATGTTTTTAGAATTATTTCTTTGATTGGGGAATAGGTTTGCATGGGCCAGAAAATATGCTATTTTACTTTATTTCATGTGCTTTTACTGGTAAATTAACTATTTACTGGCAATTGAACTATGCGATGTATGAATTTATAATATAATACCTTCGGGCACGGACATTAACTAGTATATATATAACACAGAGAGAGATGGGAGAGACATTAAATGGGTACGCGAATACAAGTCAAATGTGTTGTCTTTCCAATAAATGTGTTGTCTTTCCTATGAAGAGCATTTTTTAGATTTTAAAAAATTGTGGACTTAACTATTTATTAGTAAGATTAAAATAGAATTTATTCCCAAATAAGTTTAAATGATAGACTAAACTCATTAAAAGTCTACTAAAGAGGATTCAACCCCAATTTTCATTTTTTTTGTCGACTTATGTAGCAATTTTTTGGATACAAAAAAACTTTATTTAGGTTGATTCAAGAAGTTGATTTTATGATCTTTTCTTTAAGTTTTTTGGAGTTTTGTCGCGAGTCCCACATAACTTTTTAATTTTTTATATTCATAAAATATTTTTAG